ATCCCCCTTATCTGCTAACGACCCCCCCACCTCTCAGGTAACCGCCACGGCCTCCTGGTTCCCAACAACACCACAGACCAGGAGCTGCAGCACATCAGGAACTCCCTGCCAGACGCCGTGAGGATCCAGAGAGTGGAGGAGAGGCTGTCTGCGCTCGGGAACGTCATCGCCTGCAACGACTACGTGGCTCTGGTTCACCCCGACCTCGACAGGGTGAGAATCTGATGATGGAGCAAAACCCGATCTCCATCGATCCTTTATTTTAGCTGCAGGCAGCAGGGGGTCTGAGGGAGGAGCAGCTGAACTCAGAGACATGGAGTGATGATCATCTTGATGCTGTAGCAGATGAATTTATCTCTTTGATATGAGGAATCATTTCTGCTTTGTTTCCTCTCCGTCTCAGGAAACAGAGGAGATCCTGGCAGACACCCTGAAGGTGGAGGTTTTCCGTCAGACGGTTGCCGAGCAGGTTCTGGTCGGTTCCTACTGTGCCTTCAGTAACCAGGGGGGGCTGGTCCACCCGAAGACGTCCATCGAGGACCAGGACGAGCTGTCGTCTCTGCTGCAGGTTCCTCTGGTGGTGAGTCTCAGTCTGGCTGACTTCTGGACTCTGAGGAATCCAGAACCGGTCTAAAGCTTGTGGTTCTTGTCCAGGCCGGCACGGTGAACCGGGGCAGCGAGGTGATCGCCGCCGGGCTGGTGGTCAATGACTGGTGCGCGTTCTGTGGGCTGGACACGACCAGCACGGAGCTGTCGGTCATAGAGAGCGTGTTCCGGCTCAGCGAGACGGCGCAGGCCTCCGCCATCGCCACCAGCATGAGGGACTCCCTGATTGACAGGTGAGGGACGCTCGCATCGGTCCGGACTCCTCATGGGGGAAAAACGTCTAAACCCAAAAAACAAAAGCCTGCAAAATATTCACACCCCTTCAGCCTTTACATATCAGGGTTTAATTAGATTCTTTGTGACAGAAAGACAAAGACTCCCGACTGAAGCATGACGATGCAAAGGCTCTGATTTTACAAAAGTTAAACTAAAGTTTAGATTATCTGATGGTCTGAAATAAAATCCTGATGCTGCTTCAGAAAATCAGAGAACAAGTGACATCATGAAGACCAAGGAACCCAGCAGACGGGTCAGAGAGTTCTGCTTCAGTTGAAAGCAGAGTTTGGTTCTAGAACCTCTGAAGCTTCAAACGTTCCAGATCTCTGATCAGTCCATCATCTGATGGATTTCGCAACACCCAGGCCAATACTTCCCCCTAGAAATAAAACATTGGTGTTTTATTTACCTTAAGCTGCTGGATCACTTTTCCTCATGGTTTGATGTTCTTGTTTCTCCTCAGCATGGCGTAGAAGCTGCTGTCTGTTTCCTGCCATGATGAAGCTCCGCCCCCTGAAGCACACGGACAGCCGTTTCTCCAACACAAACCTGATCAGATCATCATGGCTGACGTGGCGGCCGGAGCTGCTCTCAGACAGGCCATCTATTGAAGCTCTTTGAGCTGAGAAGCGTTCAGAGAAATTAGTTTACAGATTTCTGAGCCGCCGTTTGAACCTGGAACGTGTTTTAGTTTGTGACGCTTTGGACGGTTCTACCTGAATTAAAGCTCAGGAAGGAAACGGTGCTGAATGCAGCGTGTGTCTGAGCAGAGATGTTTTTGTCACCAGACTAATGGAACATGTATGTATCTGTAAAATAAAGCTGATTGCCATCTTTTTATCGGTTTGAGCCTCATTGTGTATTTTAATAAAATGTTTGAAGGAATCTCCTAAATATCCTGAAATCCTCTGATCTGTTCAGTCATGTTTGTGGACTGAATTCACTGAGCTGCAGAAATGGTGAAACTTAAATTTTGGAAGGAAAGTGGACTGAGAGTAGCGTCCAGAAGATTTTATTTTAAGATGTTGGTCTAAAGTTAAAATCTCCTGATTCTGGATTATTGAATAATTGAATTAATTATTAAATTGAATAATTTCTTGAATATTAAACAGCAGCTACTTTGATGTTTAAGTAAAAGGAGACGGAATGGTTAACAAAATTGCAAACGCAGATGAAAAATCAGTTTGTTAGCCATGCAGAGCATTTTCAGCATAAATGGCAACAGATTATAAGTTTATACAAGTTAGCATTATAATGCAAGAAAGTTGAGAAAACGTAGTTTAAATGTTCTTCTGATTTCTCAGAGGACCATAACTCCCAGTTACAGATTTAAATTAACATATTTTCTTATTGTACAGACGGAATCAGACTGCAGAGCTTCTTTATATCTTGAAATTTAGTTTCTGACATAAAGAGTTTCATAAATAATTTTAAACAGAGCACAGAAGTAGATAAAAGATGAAACAGATTTACTGGATCTGCAACGTGCAATTCTAGATCTAAAATGCAGCATATCCATATTTTTGATGATAGTTGAAGGAATTGAAATTTACTTCTAGGGATGATTTATCGATTTTAGCATCGGAATCGGCTGTTATTTAATATTATTTTTATACATTGTTTTTGCGCCCTACATAAATAATGCACTAAAAGGCACCTCTCTAACTTCCTATTAATATAAACATCAAGTCAAATATCAGTTTATCAACAATAGGAAAGCATTCAATAAATATACTTTATGTTTGAGCTCATTTTTGGAAAATATAAAAACTAAATAAAAGCGTTCAGGTCGAGTAACTGTAGGTCCATCCCCCCACCCTTAGTGGGGTGGGGGCACCAATTTTCATCACAAAGTTACACGCTTGCTGCCTCATGCAGAACACTGCAGCTAAAATAAACTTTTTTATTTTGACAGTGTCCTGTCTGGCAATGTGGCAATAAAAATAATTATCTTGATGCCAAAAACAGCCCAACAGATTTTACTTTAACAACTGTAGCAGTATGGCCATCACCATATTGCTCCACTTGTTTCATGCATATAAATGGCTTTATTATAATTATGCAGAGAGTTTTACAGTTTATATGGACACTGCAATGTAAATAGAGCAGAAAAACAGAAGAAGAAAACGAAAAAAGACAAAAAAAAGAAAAGATGAAAGAAAGGAGATAGAAATAAAACATTTTATAAATAAACTCCAAGCTCAGAGGTTCAGGCTTACTTTGCCACCACTGCAGAGCTTGGTGGGTTTGAGTGGAGATCATCCAGTTTGATTAGAAAAACATGAAGGACAAACAGTCTGTAGGAACTACATAGTATGGAGACTTGAGTTTATTTTCTAATAAATGATTTGAAGATATGAATACAAGATCTACCAACATGGTTCCATCAGTGAAGCATCCCCATCCAATCATTATAGTGGAGTCTTTTATTCCACCAAGGAGCAGATTTAGGTCAGTCTGTCATCAAACAGCATCTTCATCCAACAATCCAGGAGGAAATCAGCAATGATCTAGATTTCCAAGCATGGTGGATCACAGCAGGGGAGTGTTGGCCTAGTGGTTCAATGCCCACAGCCTCCACTCTGGGTCCCTGAGCAAGACCCTTAACTCCACACTGCTTCCCGGGCGCTGCACAATGGCAGCCCACTGCTCCCCAAGGGGATGGGTTAAATGAGGAGTTAATTTCGTTGCTCTGTATTTGTGACAGTATGACAATAAAGGCTGAAAAAGGAAACACAAAAAAAAGCACCACAAAGATATATTTGCTTAAAGATATAACCTCTGGTGAGAGAAACCTTATAGAAAAATAGGAACCAATAGACTGAATAAATCAGTATCTGTGAGGTTCTGGTCCAAATGTTTAGACCCAGATAGACAGAAAAAAGGATGAACCATAATAAGCAAAATAAAAGTTTACATTTATAATGATTAAACCTTTTAATTGGAAAATTTCATTTTCTCCGAATAATTTCCTGATTAATCATATTTGTTGGCGTTTGGTTCTCCCTGCCGATAAAAAGTAGGAACTGCAGCTTTTTAAAAATGTATGACAAAAAACCTCCAAACATTTAAACCCTTTTTTCATTCATTAACGCTTCCTGTTAATTATATTTGTTGGCGTTTGGTGCCACCTGCTGACAAAAATTTGGAACTGCAGCTTTTAAAAAATGTATAACTAAGAACACTTCTAAATATTTAAAGCCTCTTTTTATTCATTTAATTACCGGCAAATTATTCCTAATATTTGTTGGCGTTTGGTGCCACCTGCTGACAAAAATCTGGAACTGCAGCTTTAAAAAAAATGTATAACTAAGAACACCTCCAAACATTAAAAGCCTCTTTTCGTTCATTTATTTACTGGCAAACGATTCCTAATATTTGTTGGCATTTGGTGCCACCTGCCGACAAAAATGTGGAACTGTAGATTTTTTTTATTAAATATATGCAACAAGAAAACATCCAAACATTTAAAGCCTTTTTATTCATTTAATTACTGGCAAACGCTCCGAGTCAGATCGCAAGAATGCATCTATGTACACAGAGTGAAAACAGCGCCACCTTGTGGAAATCTAAAGAAAAACACAGTGATACAGCTTGATTATATGACGCACACAGTTCCACACAAACATCTGGGTTAATGTTTTTGGTTTGGGGGAAAACGACAACAAAAACTAAAAACACTTTTTTCTAGGTTAAAAGGAAAGAATAATTATGGCATAAAATCAGTTTACATTTCTATAAAAAAGTGAAAACATGCAGGGTTTGTAGTGCAGAACAAACGTTTCTATAAATTCCTGTTAAAGAAGGCAGACAGGGAGCAGGTACAAAAAGAGGAAGATCATTACATACATACAGTCTTTACTAAAAGAAAAAAGGGATAAAAAGACTCCTTTTACCGTTTGATTCATGTGCAAAATGCTCATTCAGTTCCTACATTAAATATATTTTTTGTTTAATGTTCAACTCTAATTTGTAGTGTTTCTACGGACCAGAAGGAGGCGCCGCCCTCAAACTTTATTGCATCCTGACCTCTCTGGACCTGATAGGTTTCTCCTGAAGCATTCTGTCAGACTCCGGCGCCCTGAAGCTGTAAACTGCTCTGAACATCGTCGTTTTTAAATCGGTTATATCACTAAGATCTACAAACACCCCGACTGGCCCTGAAAGCAGCACGAGGCTCCGATTTACGGCTTTAGAAGGCGGCGTGGCGAGCTGCGGTGTTCGGCTTCCAGCTGTGTGAAGCATGCACGGGGACATATTGCACATCGCTGCTGACGAGGGTCTCGGGGTTAATGGTTGAGCTTAATCATGACTTTAAAACTAAACTAAAAATAAAAAAACTCAGGAAGACAAACTGAAACGGTTGAAATGAGCCGACGCACCTGATGCATGCTTAGTGTTTGAGACGAGAACCTACAGATCAATCTTTACATTCTCTAAACTCTAATGTGATTGGTCAGTTTGTGTTCCTTCAAAATAAGAGAACTGTTTGGGGAAAATAAAAGCAGAGCGCCCTCTGCTGGCGTCTGCCGCTTGTGTGTGAACTGAATAAACGAAAGAGTCTGAACGTGGAGAGGGTCATGGTGGTTCCCAGTTAGACCTCTCCCTCCGTCAACCCATCATCATCCTCCTCTTCCTCCTCCCATCTAGCAGCCGAAGGTCTCCTGCGAGGCGTACACCATGTAGAGGAAGCCGTCCTCGTCCCTCTCCTGCTCGTAGATCTCAGAGATGGAAGTGGACACGGACACCATGCTATGCTGGTTGACCAGCAGGAAGAAGGCCTGGGTGGGGTTAAGCTGCAGCCGACGCCTGCGGACAGGAGGAAGAGAGGTTGGAAAACAGCTGCTGATGACACCGTATATACGACTGATGCCTGATTAAAACTTCCAGCTGCTTCACTGTAAATAAGACTGAAATAAAAAGATTATTTGATAAGGAGCACCAGATGTTAAGGGACATCAAAACATTTTTGATTCAAGATAGAAATAAATACTTTATATAAATATGTAGCACTAGAATTTTTTGTTAGATTACAAAGAGAAGTAATTTAAAACACAATAAATAAAAATAAAAAACTAGCACCAAACCTTGTCTATCTAAATCACAGGAACCAGTGGAACCGTGCTTTTCGCATGAGGATCAACCTAAATATGACAACTCAAAGCCCAACCTGCATCTAGAGGTAAAATCCCTTGCAGGGAGTCAACAGGCAGACCGCTGACTCCTGCTGGTGAGTTTTTAACATGAAAGAAAGCACATTTTTATTGGTAATAATTAGCTCAGTGGGACTGAATTTCCCTCCATATTGGAATCAAATACAGGAGAAAAGTTTCCCTTCCTTCCTTTCAACACGTGTAGAGCTCAGATGTGAAGAGTAATTTAATTTCACAGTTACTTTGGTCATTTTTTAAAGATAAGACAAAAAAATGACTATCGATCAAAATATGTGCACAAGATAATTACATGTAAAAAGGTGAAAAATGTCAAGTGTGTGAGCAATGTATGAAGGTCTTACTGCTCCACATGGCTGTCAGCTCAAACCCTGATCTGTTTTCCTCTGTCTTAAGGCTGATTTATGCTCAGAAACCAGGTCGTCTGCCACAGTGAATGCAGATATGCCCCCATCCCTTCCGCAGACACTCTGCTGCACCTCTCCATTATAGGTGACAGCAGACAGGAGGCCTCTGATTGGTCAAATCCACTCTACTATATGCATATTTCCTGTTTGGTACCTTACCGGCTTGTTTTGTATGTACGACCGCCATTGTGGAAAACGACCCGTGAAGATGGATCAGCTAGAAGAGTGAGGTGTGAGGTGTTTTCCACCTGGATCCCCGCTCTTTTTGCCCCTCATGTCCCTCCGTTGTTGCAAAATCTTGCCCCCACTTCCTCACCGCCTCGACCGTATCTAGACCCACAGCTAGTTCTTGAGTGTCCCTCTGGCGTTGTGGCGTGGAATAACAGCGCAGACCATACTTCAAAATTGATCATAAATCAAAAATAAATGCGAGAAGCTCCCTGGGACACACTGCTGCAGGAGGATAACCAGCCCTTTAGTCCCATTTCCTGTCAGATTTTTTTTTCCCAAACACAGTAATTAGAGATGCATCGATCCATTTTTTTCAATCCAATCTGATGCCGATACACAGGCTGAGCGTATTGTCTGGTATCCTATAGTACAGTAAATGAATTACCTGCATACCCTGACATGTGAGTAAAGGTCTCATGCTTGGAATTAACACAGTTTTAAAAACATTTAATTTATAAAAAAAATAAAAGATAAATGAATAGATATCAATCATCATTAGAATTGAAACGACCGTATCAGAAAGCTGAATCTGTGTCGTTCATCATATATTCAGAGAATCAGATCGGTGCATATCTAAGACAGTAAAGAATAAATAAATTATTAATGATATTAGAGCCTATTCCAAAGAGCTCCATCAATCAGCTCCAACTCATCAGAATTTTCCTTTCAGTCTTTATTTAAAAGCTTTGTACGTGGTTCTTTATATCGATTAAGGAAATGAATCTAACGCTCATGAGAAACAGGCCTCAGCTGATTAATGATGTCTTTACTTCATGGTTTCTGAGCATCAGGACAGCAGAAGTCTGCAGACTCCATGTATTCTGGACCAGATGGATGCGATAGTTTCCCCGTTTACCTGATGATCTTCACCAGCTCGCTCATGTTGACGTGATCAGGAACCAGGAACTTGGTCTTGTCCAGAACTGGGAGCTGTTTCTCTCCCTTATACCGCTCGATGATCACCTGCAGACAGCGAACAGGAGCAACAGGAAGTCAAACATCACCTCCCGACGACAGGAAGCTAGACACTTCAACACTTCCATTAAACATACATCTATAGTAAAAAGGTCAATAAAAGCATCTGGTCTGAATAACAGAAGAATTTGCCTTTTAATGATCAAACCTGTAACCAAGGAAACAACCTCTTAGCTTTTATCTTGAGAAAAATGAGGCCATTATAGATAACAGGAGTTAATGACCTACATGGTGGTGTCAGAAATAAACATCAGCTGAGCTGCAGCTCCAGGTTTATGAAGAATTATTTAGGATTTAGGACAGCAACGTTGAGGAGGGCCGATTTTTCTGACATCATTAACAGAAACGCTAAAAATGATTGGATCTCATTTCCTGTTGCCCATAGGCCCATAGTCAGATTTATCACAAAGAAGACGCCAAGATGCTTAATGGGCTTTTTTCCCCTTTTCCTCTAGAACATTTTAGGCTTCTGGGTTATTTTAATCCACTGAATTAGCGTCTCTGATGTGGACCAGTCCAAACGAGGTTCTGTTAGGACGGCCTGAACTGTTACACTGGAATCTCCTCTGCTGCTTTCTGTCATTTTTATGTTTTTTGGACTTAAATTAGGAAGTTTTAATGTTTTTAAACTCCTCCTGACTGATACCTTTGTACCATCAGATCTTATTGATCGTTTCTAAAGGACATAAATGAAAAGGCTGCTAGAGCAGCGGATCCTCTCAGCAGATTTCAAACTTAAGGGAACCTTTGAGCTAAATCAGCTGCTTCATCATTTATTAGCTTATGGTTTTATTTATCGTTTTCCTTTTTCTGTTTTCTCTCTTAATGGGAGCTGCAGAAAACCAGAAGCCTGCAGTGATCAGTCATGCGATTAGAATTTAAAGGAACAGTCAGATTGAAATTTTTAGCAGCACCCTGAACCGTTTCCTGATAAAACGGATCCAAACGCCTCTGACTGTCCCTTTAAGGAGCCGATAGAGGATCTGTTCTAATCATCTCAGGTCTGGAAGCACTAACATTAAACATGACCTTGGTTTTATCTAAACTCAGAATCCCTACAGAGTTTTCCTTCAGAAAGTCATTCATTTTTCCAAACTGTGGTCCTGGTTGAGTCCATCTTTGTGTTTTAATGTCAGCATCATGCGGTGTGTCTGAGAACTTACAGGAATCTTGTTGGGATGCTGCTCCCGGATCTGCTGCACCTCTTTGCACCGATCAGCTGCAGACAGAAAGAAGGAGGAGTCAAAGCTGAGTGACGATCCCAAACGCTCCGGTTTCTACCATCAGATCCGCGGTTCATGATATCAAACACCTCAGGAAGAAGTTAAACTCGGGATCCTAACCCGTCCCAACCAAAGCTGCAGATATCTCCATTATCTCTCCTACTGCTCTAAACGTTCTGCTGCAGTCCAGCTCAAACTATGGGGGTTTAACAACCATAGATTATCATCCTGCTTGTTAGAGAAGTTTTTTCTGCAAAAAGAAAACTGAATCCAAGTTGAGGATGGAGCAGATTGAGTCAGACGTCATAAATCTGAAACCATCCTGAGCTCCATGTCAGACCTTTGTAAGGAGCAAGAATATCAGCTCATTAATAGGTTATAGATGGATGCAGGGATCACCATGGTAACGAGCACAACCTCTTATAGAGTTTGAGTTTAAGCTAAATCCACCACAGAAAGGTTCCGGTGAGTCGCGTTTCCTGTGCAGCTCCTAAATGAACCCGCCTGTCAGCAGCGATGATCACATGAATGAAACATGAAATCCGTCTGTCACCCCGTCTGGTTACACAACACACCAAAAATGACCCGTTTCTAGCAGGTTTACATAAAAAACATCAGGCCGGGTTCAAAGGTTAGAGCACTGCGGACAAACACAGAATCTGGATGAACCTGGAGGAAAAAAACATTGAGTCATTCTGGAAATTCTTCATTCCTCACATCAAACCTCTGAAGTCTTTCTGTGGATCTGATGCATTTCCTACTTTAAGACGCTCCATCAAACAGAACTAAAGGTAAACCGAGGTTCACGAGTCTAGAAATGTAACTCCTCTGGTTCCAAGTCCTCCTAATAATGCTCTAACTACGGTGGCCGGGAGGTACAAACCAACATGCAACCAACAAAATCTAAAACACTTTTACAAGCTCCAAAACAAAATATCATTTGAAGAATTCAACCGGAAAGGGTGGGTACTAACTGCAAGGCGAAACCGGTCTAGTTTAAAATTTTGTTTCTGTTCCCGACACAGGGATCAAATGATAATTTCTTTTGGGAATTGTAAAAGTAAAAGTGTTTTAGGTATTTTCATTATTATTTTTTTTTGTATTTTTGTAAATGTTTATTTTTTTTAATGTAAATTAGTTTCCTGAAATGATCATTTGTTTTGGAACTTGTAAAAGCGTTTTTTAAAATAAAAAATTTGTTTTCAGAAATCATAAGTTGTTTTGGAACTTTTGAAAGTGTTTTTTAAAATATAAATTGTGTGAAAAAAAAAAAAAATCTTCAGATTAGGCATGTCCCAAAAAAACGTTTTAATTTCTGATACGATACCATAATTGCAGCTTTGAGTATTGATTGATACAGACATTGACCAGATACAATATCAGAATTAATCATACATACTTTAATTAGGTATTTTATAGCATGAAATGGTAGAAATGTTTGATTAGTTGATTTCTCTCAGGGATAAAATGATCAGATATGAGAAAAAAATGACCCATTTCTTATTCAACAAATATTAACATGAACTATAAACAAAAGTAGATAGAAGAAAAGCGTTTCTATATGCTTTATAATATGGGAGACTTTAGAAGCTGATTTGTTCCGATATTAATCTTTGGGCTGATATCAGATCGATTTCTGATATCAATATAAGTTCAGGTCAACCTTACTTCAGACCAGAAGCAGCTCATCTCCAGGCCAATACCATCCCTACAGAGAAGAATAGTAGTGGCAGCATCATGTTATGGGATATTTTTTCAGAAGACTAGTTTGGATCAAAGGACAGATGAATGTAGTGATGAGAGAGGCCTGCTGCAGAGCTCTGACCTCACACAGCCAAGATCTCAAAGGATTGGATCAGAACCACGCTGTGGATGTCCTGGAGTGTCTGAGGCAGAGTCCAGGCTGAATCTGATCAAACAAGTAGAGAAATCTGTCTCCCATCCAACCTGATGGAGCCTGAGATTCTGCTAAACAGGAAGAGAGGTGAGCTAAGCTGGAGCATCAGATACATCAGGAATAAACATGATTTAAAGGTTTATGTAAATGTCTTTTATTATTTTACTACTGCTGATAAATTTTCCAAATTTTTCATAGCAGAATATGGAGAGCAGAAGTAGTAAATGTGGAAAAAGAGAAGCGCGGAGAAAACTTTCTGGATGGACTGAAAGTCGCCGGTCTGATCCGAAAACACGTAGAACCAAGATCCTCTGTTAGCACCAATCACTCTCCACATCGGGTTCTTCCATGGTTCTACAGAAAAATGGGTTCAGTTCTCTTTCTAAAGATGCTGAACCAAAGTTTTAATCTGGTTCAGAGGACACTTTGGTAGACGGGAAGATTAAGGCAGACTACCCTGGTTCTGTGGTTATAAAAAAATCCCACGTCACTAACCCTCCACCACCGTGTTTAATGCTTAAACTGAAGCATTTTTGCTGATAGGTTTCCTCCAAACATGGAGATTTGCCTCGTGGTCCAACATCACTACTGTGGTCTAATCTGTCCAGAGAAATAACCATCCAAAACATCATAAAATAATAATAGTAATCCAGGTGGAATTAAATCGTTACAATAAATTGGAAAAAAATAAAGTAATATTGGGATCAAAGAGGAAAAAATTTATTAAACCATAATAAAAAAAAGACAAAAAAAACCCCATCAAACTGGGACAAAACCAGCAGAGAGATCAGGATAAAAGCAGGTTTCAGAGTTTTCCTGGACTGAGCCGAGGTCCTTATATGATCAGGTTACAGGTATTAAACTGCTGTTTACACTGAAGATGCTCATTTCATTCATGCAGTTATCCAGCCTCTCCTGGCTGCTGTTCATCTGTCCAACTAAAGACCCAATAAGATGTTTATTTATAGGCCAGCATGTAAATAAACTGACTGTACTTTGGACCTGAACCTGGATCAGTTCTGTCAGCTTTATGTTTCTCTCTGCTGATAAAAAGCAGCTTTCTGCTGTTTCATGCTGTAATGATGCAGCAGTGATCCTCTCCAAACCTTCACCTCATGGAGGAGGAGATGGGAGCTGGAAGCTCCCCTGCAGCTCTTCAGTTCTTCCTGTTTTCCTCTGAATCAGAACCATTATGCAATGATGACAGTCTGGGCTCCTCCCAGTCTAAACTGGGCCCCTCTGCCAGCCTCCCATTACAGCATAAATCAGAGGACAGGAGTGCTGGGATAATGTGTCAGCACATGATGTTTTTCCTCCCAGGAAGCACAGAACCAGCTCAGAGGGGATCCACTGGGCTAATGCTGGTACTGATGAGGCCCTGGGGCCCCTCTGACACAGATAGCCTGACCCACAATAAACCACAACAGCACCGCAACAAAAACACACAAACATCAACTATTTATATTCAAAATCAGTCTGGTAATTATTATTATTATAAATGGTGTTATTATTGTGACCCCTGGGGGCCCAGCTCAGCCTGGAGCCTCTAGCGGTCCCAGCGACACATCACACCGGCCTACAGGCACCGACAGCCGGACTCCAGGCTGCCGACAGGCCGCTTTCTTACCGAAGGTCCTCCGCTGTTTGAAGGGTCTGTCTGACGGCATGTCTGCAGCTGGTGTGTCCGAAGGAAGGCGACAAAGTTCGGTGTGTTGTTTTCTCTTAGGTCCGTCTGAAGCTAAACAGCAGCAGCAGCTCCGGACAAACAAAGCCTGTAAAGCTGTGAGGTCATCAGAGGCTCTTAAAGGGGCCGCACACCCATTACCCTGCTGGGTATCAGTGAGAGGAACAGCAGCTCATGGAAATAAATGGATCATTAGAACCAGTTCCTTAAAATGAATCGTTCACCAAATCATTTAGTTCACACAACTACAGTTTTGTGGGCTGTCAATATAGAAGATTAAAATAAAGTAGAAAAAAATATTTATGGTGGAGTAAATGTTTCTTTAAAAATGTTGCTTTAAAATACAAAGTACAAGGATTAGGGCCACTGAGAAAAAAAAGTTAATTGATTTTTACATTTTATTTCAGTTTAATATGGGAAAAAGTCAGAATTCTGACTTCAATCTCAGAATTTTGACTTTAATCTCAGAATTTTGACTTTTTTCTCAGAATTCTGACTTTAATCTCAAAATCTGGGTTCTTAATGTAGATGGGCACCATGATGGTAGAGATGTGGGAGCACTCAGCTTCACTGACAAAGATGTGAGTTGTTTGAGAGGGCCAGTGACACATTGGTGGAAAATTACGGAATTAGGCAACTTTTTACGTGCCCGAGGTGTCCCATCATTAATAGAGTAGCAGAAGGTCATTAAAACAAGACAGCTAGTCTCTAAAACAGACATGTCTATGGCTTGATGCTATCATGTTTGTTAGCTGTCAGAATTCTGAGAAAAAAGTCAGAATTCTGAGAAAAAAGTCAAAATTCTGAGATTAAAGTCAGAGTTCTGAGAATAAAGTCAGAATTCTGAGATTAAAGTTAGAATTCAGAGAAAAAGTCAGAATTCTGACTTTTTCCTATGTTAAACTGAAATAAAAATAAAAAATCAGTTAACTTTTTTTTTTTTCCAGTGACCCTAATTCTCTTCCATACTAATCGTCTTCCGTATCTTCCGTAACGAAGGACAAATAGACAAAGTGGAAAAAGAGGAGAAGGAAATGAAAGGGCAGGTAAAAATCCTTTGGGTAAAGAAACAGAAAAGTTAGAGGCAGAAATATATGACTGTTTAAGAAATAGAAGGTTGGATAGATAAAAATTAATTTTTATGGTGGAGTAAAATCATGCTTTAAAAATGTTGCATTAAAAATAAGAAGTAGAAATACATGAGGTGGAAAAAGGGGAGAAGGAAATAGTTAGAAAAGTTAGAGGCAGAAATATGTAATTGTTTCAGAAATAATAGGATGTTAAAACAAAATGAAAAGGAATATTTATGGTGAAGTAAAAACATGCTTTAAAAAAATGTGTGGACTATATCATTATGAGACAAAAATAAAAACATCTTTTAAAAATGTTGCTGTGAATAAACATGAAAAAATAAAAAAGGTTGCAGTGGAAATAGGAACAAAAAAACCCACTTGCAATAAATACACAAAGACAAAACAAAGACATCAATAAAAATGTATAACAGAAAAGAAGTGGGTTAAAAATAAGTCAGCATAAAAGCAAGAAGAAAAGTAAAAATAAAAGTGTAAGTTAAAGTATATATTTTTTGATGAAGAATCAATCATTTGTTGAAGAAATATCTTCTTTTAATTATTTTGTCACATTTAATGTCGTCCATTGGCTGGTTCCATTATACCTAGCAAATGGGTTATAATACTCTACGCAAGTCCTTGGTCTAATTAATTCTAAATTTAACCACACATATTTGTTATTTCCTCTACCCAAATAGTGCGTCAAATAATAAAAATTCTCGGTTACTCTAACTTATATCCTCTACACAAATGTGGGGTCAAACTAACCAAAGTTCTTGCTTGTTTCACCAGCTACATACATTTGTTTAGTGCATTTTTGAATGCTTGGTCAAATTGTTCGAGACACCTCTGATAAATTCTAACATATCACAGTACAATCATTAGAAAAAGAAATTGCAATAGAATACCCATATCTATAAAACTGTTCAACTACATATCAATAACAACTCACATGCTTGAAACGTCTTAATGCCCACAATACAAAAAGGAAGCAATTAAGTTAATTATGGAACAATTCAAAGTAGTGTCATTAAAAATACACATTGTTTAAAATTTGTTCCTTTCCCAGGATCTGAACATAGGACTAAGCAGTGGCGGCTGGCCAATAGAGGGCACTAGGGGGCCGCCCCACCCACCCAATGACCTTTATTAATAAGACATAGAAAAAAAACATAATAAATTATAAACCTAGAGTATTTTTACTTTTCATATCTGCCTTGATAGCTGACATTAATTGTTCACTTCATTCACTTACTAACTCTGCCCAGTTCTAAATCATTCCTCATCTTATCCACCTGCGTCTGTTGCTTGTTGCTTTATATTTGGCTCAGCCCAGCTATTATCAGGGAAAGATCATTGTTTGTTATGAGTTTTTGTCTTTTATCCTAAAGTTTTTGCAGTTATCCTGGTTCCATGTCCTGTCTCTGTCTCTCAACCACTACGCCTGCCTGTCTGCATCTGTGCAAGTCTGCCTGAGCTCTGTCTGTCCCTGTTTGGATCAGAACCCCTGACCTGGCTGCGGACTCCTGGATGTGTATATATATATATATACACCCCTTGCTCTCCCTAAGGCTCCCTTGAGCAGCAGAGCTGTCCTATCACCTCCTGGTATTGAGCTGGATAGGCTGGAAGAGGAGGAGGCTGGAGGCTTGTTGTTGGTTAATGCTGTTGAGTTATTGAGTTGATACAATCAACTGGTTGTGCTTAGTTAGAAAACTTTAAATCAATTGTACTGTATGATGTGGTTGAATTGTCTATGTAAAGTGCCTTGAGATAAGATGTGTTGTGAATTGGCAGTATATAAATAAACTGAATTGAATTGAATTGGATAAACTTGGCTGGCCCAAGTGAGGGTCTCAGTCAGGGACGCGTTCTACTCCCACCTCCAGTAGAGCTTCTCCCAGATTCCGGGACAGGCTGAAGATAGGCTGTCTGAGTGGAACATATCCTCTGCCCCCATGGTCAATGCGGCCTGTATCGGTGGCGCCGTTTGGTCTGTGGTGTCTGTCGTGGCAACAACCCTTGAATCTGGTGGTGGAAACTGGCAGTAAGGGATGCCATCAATCCAAAGAAGGAGTCTTATTTAGCCTGGCTGACATGTTCAACTCCTGAAGCATCAAGTAGGTATCATGAGGCCAGGTGCCTTGCCGCACGGGTGGTCACTAAGACATTTTTTAGTGAGAGTGAGGGGCTGCCGACCCTGGAAGAGAACATCGTCGGATGGTGGAAAGAATACATTAGTGGTCTTCTTAATCCATCTGACTCCTTCTAGATGGAGTGCCCATGGCTGAATTTATTTATCACTCAGGCTTAGGTCACCAAGGTGGCAAGGCTTCGGGGGTGGATAAGATCTGCCTTGAGTGTCTTGGATCTCTGGATATTGTCAGACTTTTTGTGGCTGACACACCTCTTCAACATTATGTGGAGGTTGGGACAGTGTCTGTGGACTTGCGGACTGGGGTTGTGGTTCCCCTACATTAGAAGGGGGACCAGAGGGTGTGTTCCAAGTATAGAGGGATCACACCTTTTAGCCTCCCCGGGAATGCTCATGCCAGGGTGCTGGAGAGGAGAGTCTACCTGATTCTCAAGCCTCGGCTTTAGGAGGAGAAATATGTTTTTTGTCCTGACCGTGGAACAGTGAAACAGCTCTACGCTCTCTGCAGGGTTCCAGAGGTTACTTAAGAGTTTGCCAAACGAGTCCATAGGTGTTTTGTAGACTAGAGGAATGCATTAAATAGAATGCATAAATAATGTAGGATATAAATATCTGGCTGGCTTGCCAAATATGGAAGCAGTTGTACTGCGTTATGTAGTCCTGTTTCTGACCTTATGCTCACTTAGCAACACAGAGAATGCAGAATGTAAACAGGGCGTCTACAGGCTGGGACTCACATACAAATCTTGGCAAAAACAGGGTTCTTACTGGCTGACTCGCACGCAATCAGGTCATAAGCTAAGAGATTTCCAGGAAAAGCGTCCAGTCGTGCACGTGCATCCACACAGCGCGATTTGGAAACTATAAATACCGCCTGAGATGGACTGAAGGTTGGGGGATAACAGAATTGTGACAATGAAGTGCTGAATGTATAAAGTGTTTTAGGACAGCTGTATGAATTTGGTTTGTAATTAAATGTGTCCCCCCTCCGGATGATAAAATGGTGTGAATAGTGACCTTCTTTCTGTCATAAGGGAATTCTACCAATGAGCTTCCATACTGTGTCTTTCATTGTGCCCTGGAATAAGGAGTTAGGGGGCCCTTTACTAGAGGATATCCAGTCTCTAGATAAGTGGAGCAGGAGTTTGGTCCGCATTGTCTGCATCACATCAGACTTGTTCCCAGTGTATGTTGGACTCCTACAGGACTGCCCTCGGTCACCGGTCATGTTCATAACCTTTATGGACAGGATTTCCAGGCACATCCAAGGGCTGGAGGTGGTCTGGTTTGCTGACCAGTGGATCTTGTCGCTGCTTTTTGCAGATGATGTGGTTCTGCTGGCTTCCTCCAGCAAAGACCTGCATCATGCACTTGGGTGGTTTGCAGCTGAGTGTGAAGAAGCCAGGATGAGATCCATCCATCCTCCAAGTCTGAGGCCATGGTTTTCGGCCAGATAAAGGTTGCCTGTCCTTTTGAGGTTGGAGAAGAGAGGAATTCTGTTCCTGTTCTGTCCTGTTCACAAGTTAAGGGAGGATTAAGCGGGAGGTTGATAGATTAAATTGGTGTGGCTGCTGCTATAAAGCAAACTGTGCAGCGGTCTGTTGTAGTGAAGAGAGGGCTAAGTGAAAAGGCAAATCTCTTGATTTATACAGTCAGTCTATATTCCTACCCTCACCCATGGTCACAATATCTGGATCATGACCAAAAGAAGGAGGTCCTGAATACAAGTGGCCAAAGTTAGCTTTCTAGGCAGGATGGGTGGGTAAAAGTGCAAATATCGAATTTTTTACGCCTTGATTTAACAAAGCACGAAGCATGGTTATGATTTATATGTTGCATCTGTTTCCATACAGGCAAACCTTGGAGGTTCTTGTTTAATTTATTTTTTGTAGATG